GCTTCAATGAAACGAAATAGATGTGACAATGCCGACAATCAAACTCCAAGTAAACAACGACCACTGAGTGAGCTTGATATGAATGCAAATATTGTGTTTAAAACGGCATCTCAGTTTGGTCGTATTCAAAATCGCTTTGAGGAAGAGATAACTTTTCTATCAATGACAGCTGCAGGTGACTAGTTATATAGATAATGATAAAACTTCTGTTAATTTCTGTCAACTTTTGACAACTTCTGAGTGAATCAGATTCTATACCAACAGTGAAAGCCTTCATCGTTAGGGCTAGATGTGTTATTCACTTATATCACCCACTATAACTTCAACTTTGTCTCTTTTTTTCCCCTGTACTTCTCTAACCTTCACAACATTATTGCAGAGATCATATACCCCATCAATCGTTATAAAATCATCAAACCAGAGTAGTCAGTTATATTATTTCTGATGATAAATGAGAAATGATATGAACACTAACCTGTTAATATAGAGCAGATCCCTTAAAACTATCCAAAATGTCTCAAAACGATACCATCGAGACCGAATTCCTCGCCATGAAGGCCCACTTCCAGCAACTTTACGCAGAAACCCATGCCGACATCTGTGCTGGTTGTTTCCGTCTTGGGGAGTATGGTCCTGTTCGTAAATGCGTGGTCTCGGCAGGTCGTCTAAGCTGCGACACCTGCCATTTTCGCGGACTCAAATGTTTTGCTGTATGTATACAACGTATTTCATAATTTGAATGATATATGCTAACAACGAAGCAATAGATTCCTCCAGAAGGATATAGCCTTGTTGATTTCTATCTTCGTCGAGTTGCAGAGGTCATGTGCCGCAAGGAGACAGATGGAGTTGATTACTTCAGAGTCATGAAGGAATTTAAGGATATGTTGGAGGCACTGGACAGAAGTATCGCATTTCAGAAGACCATTAAGATGAAGCCTTTTGTTGCTGGTGGACCAGAGACAATTGTCAGACGTGATACGGGTATTCGCCTGTTTGGCGCGCAACGTTTTTTTGAGCAGATGCTGCTCCCTGGTTTTCCACTTCGTGCAGCTCGAGTCCCTGATAGCGAAGCGGATATAGTTGTGATCGACGACTAAGATGTTCAAAGGATGGATAATAGTCATTGTCCACCATTGTGATATGAGTTGTTTCTCTTTCTTTCTTTCCTTCTTTTGTTTTAATTGAGATTCAACTAATAAAGGAAACGGTCTTTGGTCTTTTCATACCTTTAAATTGGCCCTCACCATGTGTAGAAACTCGTAAAAATTGCTAAATCTTCTGTAGATTTTAGCGAATTTTTATAAAGTTCTGCTGCTATCTGCAATATCTCATAAATGTCTGTGGATTCCTTCACTGTTCTGCAAAGTCTTGGATTTCTGCAAAGTTCTGTCAACTTGATATATTTCGAACCAACGAGCATATGAGTACAGAATCGATTCAATGGAGCAAAGTTATCTCAGAAACTCAGCCACTCCACTTCGAGCTAACCCGATCCGAACTACTGCCAAGTCCTGCTAACATCTGAGCCAATCAACTGTCAAGGAGCTTACACTAAACTTAAATGGGACATCCTCAGCAAACTCTTCGCGAAGCGTCTGACCAAAAACAGTTCCAGTTTGAACACGGGAATGATTTGCTCCAACCATAACGTTTGAGATAGAATCACTGTACAACCTCACTTATAGATCATTTCTCTACCACCTTGGAGGGTTAATTTTCCAATTTCCTATCAATTGAACTAATTTTTATGCAAAAATACATATATTGTGAGTATGAAGTATCGCGTTGAAAACTGCTACTGATTTTGAACATGAGAATGATTTGCTAATTTTTCAACCATGATCATGTCTAGTCATTCAATGCCTTGATCTTGCCATCAAAACACATATCTGATCATCAGGCTCTAGCCAAAGCACTGAGTGTATTTTCTGATGACTTCTTGTAACGGGCGTGCCACCGATTAAACAGATGTTACTGCTGTTGCAGATTAAACCGTTCGTACCGCCTGCGCAGTTTGTATGCTGTTCCAATGGTGCTACCTACGGACTTGACACTATCCTGATAACAGTTTACAAATTGATTAAGGAAAGAAAGAGAAAGAAGATCAGGAGAAGGGGTTGTATGAGGGGGTTCTTATAGGGGAAGGATCGGGATGGAAGAATATTGGGGGTTGTGTTGCAGTGGAGCGCGGAGCGGAAGAATGTTAAGGTTTATGTGGAGGAATTGTTAGGGACTTCGCGAGCGCGGAGCAGAATCGTGAGGAGAGAGGTGTTTCATAGGTGCGCGAGAGCACGTGGGAGGGCGAACGGGCGATAGGTTGGTTGCGTAAGTTAACTACCAACGGGTGCTAACCCGTCACACTTCTGTCAACTTCACATAACTCTTGACCACCTCAGCACATCAACTTCTGACAACATCTGGGATCTTTCAACAACTTCTGAACCAATCACATAACATCTTCTCAGCTGGGTCAGACAACTCTGTCAAATATGGCCAAGAGGAATTGAAGAAAATGCAAAAGTCAGCAACAACAGTGGCTTCAAAAGCTATCATTAAAGCAAATACTTTCCATGAAAATTGAAGGCATGCCATAAGTTGTTATGAGCTATGCTGAATCTGAAAGTATTGACAAGAAGGGTGGTGGGCAGCAGCTCCACCGGCTTCCTTTGGCACATTCGATTTTATTCTCTGCATGACTGCCTGATAGCCACATGTAAAATAAATTCTGTATGTGTCAAGCTTTTGGTACCAATCTGCTTTTCCAAACCAACGACTTGGATGAATGGGATGAAGAAGTGGCTATTTGGGCCAGGTTGGTGGTAGTGTGGTAGCACTTGCGATCTCTCTCAGAGCTATGGTTGGCCAATTTCCGACACATGTTATGAGTAGCGCATTCTAACATGGCAATATTTCTAGCCCCCGTTTAATCACCAGCACTGCACCTCCTTTTGACAATACCATCAACCAATCGTCGAGACGCCGGCGCCTTCGAAGCCAAATATACAACAGCATCAGGGGTCTGCAGTACTAAGAATTCAAGGCCGTAAGCCATTCTCATTTCGTGACCAGGGCCCCTTTGACTGACCATTTGTTGATAGGAGAGCGGCCTCAAGGTGGAAAGGCACGACCACGAGGATGTCCCCGCCGGCGTGCACGCCTAAAAGAGATTACCCTGCAGCAATTTAATACTACTTATCCTTCCCTTCCAGTAAACATGGCCGGCCATCAAAACCAAGGTGCGCCTTTCACCTTTCACTAACAGCAACGTTGACTGACCGTTTGATAGGGAGGCGACCTCAAGGTGTTAGGAAACGACCGCAAGAACCTATCCGGAGGAGCTCACGGCTCCGTCGCTGCCAAGAGCAGACCTCGAAGAAAAAAGAAGCCAAACAAAGCTACCCGTATTCCTCTCCCGATTAGCCATAATCCCAAAGAAGAGGCATGCTACTTCTCTCACATTGTACTATGCCCTGAAGTTAACGAAAAGCTAAGGTCCCGCGAAGCCCGCTTACCTCTCCGCAACATAAACATCAAAACCGGAAACGGTCGCGTGAAGTTAGAGATCCACTCCCAGCCGAACATATTCCCAAACGACGAACGTCCCGTGCTGCTGTTGACGAAAAATATATACCCAAGATTCATTTATTGGTGACTTATATAATTTATTGGTTTTGCAAACACAATATTTCGGGAGCGGACATGAATAACTAAGGGGAGACTCTTGCAAAGCGGGGACCGTAGCACGCAGCCAAGTCAGAAATAAGCAGCAAAATGGCCTCAAGATCAGATGATGTCCTTTATTCAACAGTGCCAGAAATTTTACTGATGCTAGTTTAATGTGCCTGGTGATCAATCAATAACTGCACCATAAGACAAATCATTGATTGAAATTCGAGATTCAAGAAGATTATATATCAACCAGTGTCCTGCAACCCATGTTACAACCAGTGACGGAACCTCTTTCACTTTGTGTATACACTTATTAGTTTCAACAATTCAGCGGCATGCATTGCCAACGACCCTCTATTCCATGAGTTTTCAGAATCGCCATATAACCGGAATTCCAGACTTCACGCATTCCTGTTCGGTATTGAAGTTCTAGTTTCACTTCACAATTTTTACATGTGTTGTCCAACAAGGCAGCTCTGTCTTTCCAATATTCAGCATATGATTGAATGGATACCAGCTTTAACCTTGATGAAGTTGCGGTGATATAGTCTATCAGCAATTGAGGCAAGATGTCTTCATTCACTTCATCATTCGCCTCTTTCACGTAAAGACATTCCAATGTGGGAGGCAGACGATGGATTAGGGGTGATGGGTGCGATACTAGGGATTCCGCCGGCACTTTGAGTCTGGTCAGGGTTGGCAGTGTGGCAAAGTTAAAGGTGGTTAGATGCACCTCACCACGAAGGCGGTTAAGGCAAAATGACTTAAGGCTGCTCAATTGAGATAGCAAATGTGCGACACTTTCATCTGCTGATAGGCTGGTCTCCCATCCCGCCGCTTTCATCAATTCGTCCAATTCGTCCAATTCGTCCAATTTCTGTCTAGTGTCCTCTTTTCTCAGATCACCGATCTCGAGTGTTTTGATATGTCCAGCCAGGGCCGAATCTTTATTGATCATTGCCGACAATTTTAACACATGGAAATATGCCTTCTCGCAGACGTCCAAGTTGACGGTCTCATAAAGACATAGCTCGATCGAGTGGAAGGATTTGCAGGTACAGGCTAGATGTGCAATGTTTTTCTTGTTCAGGTGGCCCGTAATCTGCTGTTTCAGTACAATGGGTAGTTCAGTGATATTGGCCTTCATGTTCCGATATCGTGAATATTTCTTTTCTCGCGTGGACACTTGTTGGACGGAAATTTCAGCAGGTTTACTTCCATTTATCTGAAGTTGATGGAGTGCTTCCTGTTCACAGTAGCAGGCTGCATCCACAGTTGTCATTTGCTGCTATACATTGAGAAGAAATTAGCTAGAGGTATGACACATAAGCTGGAGAAATCTTACCCTGTGTGGAAAACTGACCTGGCTCTGGGTTATCAACAGAGGCTGAGATCTCTTCCTCAACTCTGTTAATGCCACAGCAGCGATCATTGTCCTCTCTCCATCACCTGGAGGATTCAAAAGAGATTGGACATCCATTCTCAACAACTCACCACTGGTCCTGGCAAAGAATAGCGTGTCTGTGGGATGACCGGCAGACAGAACTGGCAGACAGAACTGGTTTGCCAGAGCAGGGTCAAAAATGGTTCGTGAAGAGCACTGGCTCTTGTTAAATCCTGATTTCTCTTTACTCTTTATCACCGAAGAAATATTTTGATCAACTGGATAGGTAACCACACCGCAGCTATTGCAATTGTCCAGAAGGCAACACCAAGCAAGATAAAAGAAAGGGTAAAAACTAGAAACAGCTTAAAAGTCTTTTGGAATGGGGGCTGAGAAGATGGTTGGGGATTGGCATTTGTTTTGGATTCTGTGATCCCATGCCGGCTAGTGTTGTGTATACACAGAATAAGGGAAAGAGTGGGTGCAAGGCCTCTCTTTATGGAGTTTAGCAAGAGACACAACAAGGTCCAGAGTGCAAATCAGCCTTACCTTGACTGCATTGCTTCCCGCCCGGGGAACTCAGATTGGGGCCCTGGAATTTGTTGGCACAGAGACCATGAACAAATGGTTCGGAACTTCGCCTCACCCAACCCAGCTGGAGCCAATATTTGCATGGCCCTCCATACCCAAATACAGGAGGGCTGAGGGCATTGACTTATGGTACCATTCATGCGCCAGTAGCATTTCCACCGAGCAATGACCTAATCGCTCTGGATGGAGATTTGGGATCACTTTGGATGAGTTGAGATTTTATTGATAAAACTTGAAAACATTATTAAACATGGCAATATATGCGAGATCACGGATCACGGATCTTCCTTCAGTTGCGCGAGACAGGAACCAGATGCAACCAGCAAATGGGATGGGTGATGCATCTCATTTGCCCACCCGTCGATTCCTCATATATAGTTTTTCCAGGTCAGCAATGAGGCGCTTGTGCCAAAACTGCGCACGGATCCTAGCAGGGGCACACTTGAACGTGGTGCTAAAAAAAGTTCGTCGTGAAAAATCATCATTAAGAATGTGTATGCTAGCTGTAGGTGAATGAGTGAAGAATTAGGAGATTGGATGGTACTACAGCTACATGAGACTTTGTACTGAACATAGAATTAATCAACAACACTATCCTCCTGCAGTGACATTAGCCAACGCCAAGGGCAATTATGCTGCATATCTAGACTAGCTGCCTGCAATGGCAAAACCACACACTCTCAGAAGTTTTAGTTTCCAGCAACATCACCACTCTTTATCAGGACAATTGCGAGTCATTCTCCTCCCCGCTACAACTGCCATGGCTCTCAATGTGTTGAAATTCCTTTTCACATTCACTTCGGTAGGCCTGATAGCACTCGTGTATCTCGGCTTTAGTTGTGACATTGACATCATTGGAGGTTAAGAGTTCCTGGAGCACGGCTTCTGTTTCATCCATGGTGCATTCTTTGTTTATTATGGCATCCTCAATCTTGATTTTAGCATCTTCAAGCATTTTATAGGCGGCTCGAACTCTGGTGATGTCACCGTCGCATATTGCGGAGCACAATTGGTCTAGTGCATTCTCAAGGCACCCTTCAAACCACTTCAAGTGTTTCATCTCATCTATTGAGTTGTTCATGACTGTGATAAAACGTCCGGCTATGCCAGCCGGGGCAAGGATACAGATACAGCAGGTGACAGCTGCCATCATTTTAGATTTTGGGAACAGTTCATAGTGTAGCAGGATGTCAATTTCAATATCACCCTGTAGGGACGTATCTTGTGAGGAATTCTTGCTTTGAGGTATATCAAAATACAGACATTATGGATTGCTTCTATCCTTTTATGCTTACAGCCAAAACTGTGCATGCATGTAACAGGGCGCGCATAACAAGGCAAACAAGCCCAGGCTTGCCTAAATGACAACATCCATCCTCACACAGCTATGCAAGCCATTTTCGACGTGCCAAAATCATGCAAGCATGTAACAAGGCGCAAGAGTAGTCGTATGCCCCTATAGGAGTGGATGGCCGGCCTGCCTTTGCACAGGCTAGTGGTGATCATCAAAACAAGTGAGAGATAAACATTTGACCAGTACTTGCTACACAGCCCATCTTCCATCAGGAACCTGTACAAGCCACCAGTTGCAACTGGAGTCAATCCCCCGATTCCAGTGGTGTATAGTTTCCCGGGTCATAAGATGCTGGTGCCAGAACTGCACATGCATGTAACAGGGCGCATGTGCAGAACAAGGCAACAAATTCAGGTAGGTCTAAATGGAAATATCTATCCTCATGCAGCTACAGGAGCAACTTCCTCAGATGCAAGTGGGTGGCCAGCCTGCTTTTGCACAAGACAAGAGGCTAGTGATGGTTGTCAAAACAAGCGAGTAACAAAAATTTGGCTTTTTGGTGCAGGGGATGACATATGCACCCGTACAAGCCATCATTTGCAATGGGAGCCCTTAATTCCAGCTGTGTATAGTTTAGAATTTGGCATGGCTGGGTTTTCATCAGCGTCCGGGATTTCTAATTTTCCAGGATGCACTATTTCTTATTGGCACAAGCAAGGATAATTAGTTTTTTAGATAACCAATCATTTTTCTTTGATTTAACAACATTATCAACCAGGAATACAACAGAAAATCACACAGAGCTCTGCATCAGAGAGAAGTAAATACAGATTGCCAATGTATTTCAAACCCATTCTGAGACTCCCGCTTCAAACTCTGCAAAGGAAGGGAGCTGAATGAAAGGAGAAAATGTGAAGCAAGTATCTTTTTCAGTCAGCTCCCACAACTGTTTTAGCTTCATTTTCATCTCTTCCAGTCTTGAATCCTTTTCCATAACTTCCCACTGAAGCCGAGTAATTTCAGCACGGAGAAAGCAATCTTGTTTTGTATGAATATGGTGGTGGATATGGTTTTTGAGATCTCTCTCTCTGGCAAATCCATTTCCTGAGCTTCGATCACAGTCTGAATAAGGACACATCCACTTCTTCCCTTTTTGATGAATCTCTTCTACATGACGGCGCACGTGATATTTCCGGGTAAACGATTGGTTGCAACCGGGGATCATGCACCTATATGGGTGGTCATGTTTATCCATATGTTTGCTGTTCATGTACTTAACACATAGTTCAAGAAATGGGAATTGTATTCAAAAAAGGGGCTGCATACCTCCAGTCACTGCGTCTCTTGAAGTATGGGATATGATTGCGGCAATCTGGGTGATCACAGTATATCTGGCCGGCATTTTTGGGCGGCTCCCTTGTTCGCCTTGCAGCCAGTTGCAGTTCAGAATCATCAACCATGACTGATGGCACCTCCTGAGCTATTTTGATTTCTTTGGGCATCTGTTGTTCTGGAATTTTCACTTCTTCAAGGACTTGGATCAAATCTTGTTCAATCCCGTTTTGTCTTTGCTCTTTGTAGCTGAGGAAATATTTTGACCAACTGGGCAGCTAACCACACGGCGACTTTTGCGACCATCCAGAGGGTAACCCAGAAGGTAGCGCCAAGCAAGATAAAAGGAAGGGTAAAAACTAGAAACCAGCTAAAAAGTCTTTTGGAATGGGGGCCAAGGAAATGGTTGAGATTGAGATTCTGTGATCCCATGCCGGCCAGCGTTGTTTCCGATGTGTGTAGAGAATAAGAGGATGAGAGAAGTGTGGGTGCAAGGCCTCTCTTTATGGAGTCTAGCGAGACAACAAGGTCCAGAGTGCAAGCCAGCCTTACCTTGCTTCCTGCCCGGGGAACTCGGATTGAGCCCCTGGAATTTGTTAGCACGGATCAAATGGTTCGGATCTTCGCTTCGCCCAACCCAACTGGAGATCAATATGTAAAAGATGCTTAGTGGGTGTACATTTTAGTGAGAGAGTGAGGACCGAGCATGGTTTATTTTTCAGACCCACTTTTTTCACGTCCAACTTTTAATAAACCGCGTTCAACTGTAACCCGGATGCTGCTTATCTGCTCTTCCTCGGCCGTTCTACTAGAGAGGTCAGATAGCTACTGTATCTCCTTGTCTGAGTGAGGCACAATTAGCGTCATTTTCCTCGGCGCCTTTTTAGCCAATCACAAGTGTTCCTGTTCAGGATTCATGCGCAGTATTGGCACAAACGCCTCATTAAGATGTTCTATGTAATCTAAACTGTCAGAAAAATTGTTGATCTGAGAGCCCCTGAAAATACTCAGCAAGTTAAATTAAGTTTCTACAACACTAATGAAAGCATACTGGGTAATACCCATGCCCACATACGCATCCGATGTTGAGGAAATTTTTAGCAGCTCACCCATTGATTCCTTGTATATAGTTTTTCCGCGTCAGCAATGAGGCGCTTGTGTCAAAACTTTGCATGGATTCTAGCAGAGACACTTGAACATGGTGCTAAAAATGATTGTGAAAAACCATCATTAAGAGTGTGTATGCTCACTGTAGATGAATGAGTGAAGAATTAGAAGATTGAATGGTGCTACAGCTATCTGAGAACAACATTATCCTTCTGCAGTGGTAAAACACATTAACCAACACCAAACATCACAGCCACATCAGCAATACCTGAATCCAAGGAATTAACACCATTCCAAATCTCATCAGGTACTTTGAAATAGGGATGATTTGTAAGGAACAATGTTACAGTTAGATTGTCATTCATGGAGAAGCTCAAAACAGTGCTCCGTTGCCAGAGATCTCCTGGCAAGTTCTGACGCTCGTGGAACACCTGCCGTTGAAGTAGAAGTGATGCACGACTTACGCGACCTCGACCGGTATATAACAGAGGTGTTGACAGCAGCCCTCTCAATCGTGTGGAGAGGAATTGGATGGTATCATCCAATCTCTTCACAGACAATTGCTGCCCTGCGTGTTGTCGAAGAATTTTTACCAGACAAAGCGCGTATGGTAATGCCAGAGGTCCATCAAATCTATTCTCAGAGAATGTGCGAAGGATACACTGTAGATGAAAAATATGAGCCTTCAGATACTCCAGCCGCTCTTGAAGTACAGGCTCTGAAATGAAAACAATGAAAGCCAAGGGTGCATTTTCATCGCCGCGACAAATCTATTTAAAATTAGCATGGCAATGTCAATTCCATTTGTATTTCATACATCACCACGGATATCAGAATAGTCTGAGTAACAATCAGCATCGCTAATCAAGTACGGACCATCGCTGGAGGAATGGGACTGGAGATCACGAGCCTCATCATTGACAGCGGTGGGATTAGTTTCAATATCCTTTTCTGTTAGCCGCACTCTCCTAAGTAGATGAAGAATAGCAGACTCACCATAGTAAGAAATTCTGATGAAGTGTGGATCCACTTTGCAAATCCATAGAATGTTGGCAAGGGGAAGTTGGATCCTTATATGGCAATGAATGTGAGCTGGAGACACCGGTTTTGATTGGAGCCACCTGGCTGGGGTCAATGAATTTGTAGAGTGTTTCACTCTGGGCACCATTGCAGTGAAAGCTCTTTTTTAAGCAGTTGCAGCAGGTAGGTGCTGCTTCATCACATCTGACATGCTTTGCAGATTGAACAACCAGTGAAATTTCTAGAATGCCACCTTTGCTGACGGGTTGAACAAGCTGTTGGCTGTCTTGCGCCCGTGGAATTTGGAGGTAATTGAGCTCCTGGAATTTGTTAGCATAGAGATCATGGACAGGTGGCCTGGAACTCGCCATCTCTGCAAAATCTGCTGGGCTGGCTTGTGTAATATTCTAAGAGTATATCAATGGAGGCAAGAACTGCTTCTTATTGCCTTTGGAATGTTAAGAGCAGATATTCTGTTTGGGAAAATACTCTTCGCCTCACGCAACCGGAGCTGATATTTGCATGGCCCTCGATTATCTATCTTTTCTCATTTTGGAGGGTTATGTAAACCTCCCCCCCTCCCAGCCGCTCTTGATGAACAGGAAGCACAAAGGGTGATGTTGCTATAATTAGCTGTGTTTTTCTGTCAGCAGATGAACTTAACCCATTGCAATATACAGATCTGTAAATTCTCTACATCTTGAAATGTTATATGTCATCTGACTTGAAAGTTGATAGGGTCAAATTTAAACTATCGGAGAAATTGTTGATCCGAGAGCCCCTGAAATGTAAGTCTAAATTCCCCACAGCACAATTGCGCTCCCATCTTACAAATCTCGAATCTCCCCCATGGCTTCGCCTGTCGCGTCGGGCTCATTCTGAGTAATGGAAGCATATTCCACAATACTTATGCCCACATACACATCCGTTGACCGCTGAGCCAGTTCCTTCGCAGGTAGCAGCACTTGATGGCTCAATTAACCCAGGTCTTCCATTTTTGTTGCATCTTTCTCCAGTTTCCCCTTCAGTTCAGTGTAAGGCAACATATAGAGCGCTTCTGGATCCCCATCACTATCGATAGCTTGGCTAAGACGGATCGCCGGGACTGAGCTTTTTTGGAGATTTGTTTGAGCATCATGATGGCTATTCGCTTGGTTCGGTTCGTGTGATGGGTCAACAGATCTTTTTTCCCTACGCAGTCTCCTTTCATGCAAGCACTCCGGACACGATGCATGGCCACATTGTCGACATTCCCCCCCACTGCTAACATCCTCCTCACATCTGCAGCAGTAGAGTCTCAGACGTTGGCGAACTGTTTTTTGAACATATCCTTCCTTGATTTGGCTTTTTCCCTGTATTTTGTTCAATAGATCATATGCTGTGATTTGGTTGTCATCTTGATCCTGAGATCTGTTGGTTCTTTTGTTGGGTTCTGCATTTTTTCGCATCGCATCAGTGCTTGCTCTTTTCCGTACTTGCTGGCCCGAGGTCAAATCTTTATCCATCTCTGAAAAGGCATTAGCTACACAATGAAAAGAACATCCTAAGAAGACCAAATACCTCTCAAACCCAGAATTACTTTGCTTGCTGCTGAACCGTTTGTGTACTCAATTGTACCTTCACCAGACCATGAAGTGAAGAATATCATATAAGGTCTGGAGATATTTGTGCTCGAGCCTTTAGCTTTAATATCCTTATTCTGAAGCTATAAGACTAGAGTAAGAAGCATCCAGCCGCATGACAAACTTCCCAGCAAAAAAGACAAGGCGGGAGCAGAAATGAAACCTGGAAGTTCAAGCAATCAGAATCAGGAAAAATCAGATGCGTTGTCTGGGAAGCCATGTAATGGCATAGTGTTCCCCAGAGCAGAAATATTTCAAGCCATATAGACATCAATAGCAATAATCAACATCACCTGGAGCCATATCCGCACACATTGGAGAGAGAGCTGTGGTTTCATTGAATTTACTTCGATTCAGAGGGGCCAGTCGTGGACGAGCCCACCTGCAGCAAACCCTGCTGTTACAATAACAAGATCAAACCAAGCTTTACCGCGGGGGACAGAAAACCATATCCTAGGAATAATCGACGCAGAAGGGCGTTCGTAAGTGGTCCAGCCTGAATTTTGCTCTGCCAAATTATCTAGGCATCACGATTAGCAAGGTAATTAAGGGACTGGAAACGTACCTCTAGGGCTAGCGGGAATGCTGTATATTCCCAAAGGATAGTAAAATGCTGGCGCTGAAACAAGCATTTAACATTTATCATCACCATCTTAGTAGAAGAGGCTGCTCACCCCCGTGCGTTAAGCCCGATAGACCAATGCCAATTACGACAACATTGACACAAATAAAGAGAACGAATATTGATATCTCAAGCAAATAGTGAGGCTTGGGGTCCTGGCGCGGGCGGAGGCAGTGAATGGTAAGTAAGATGAGATGCACCATGCTTAGCACGATGAGCGCTGCCGACAGAAGCGCATATGAGATGTTAGCATTTTGCAAGAAAAGGCAGCCAAGTTGGTCCACCTTGAAATGATCGATCCGTCGCGGAGCGATGCGGTGTGGTATATAGCTTTCGAGCAGCCATTCTCTGCTCGAATGGCTTTTTCGACGGTGGAGGGGGTATGCCATCATTTCAGCAATGTTAGGGACTTGTCCAGGGCCTGTCAAAACACTATTGTTGTTAATCTGTTGCCGTTTGAGAATGGCACGGACGGGCTGGACGTAACACTCTCCCAGGATGATCGACATGAGCTGCGCCCTCGACAGAGTCTCTGGTTGCAGCCACCATCCCGCAATAGCCTAGGATTGGCAAATTGACTTGGCAGATGAAATATGGCCGCGTGCAACAAATAATTCAACTTGGGATAGGGCCACACTAACCCGATTCTCTGAAATCACGTAAACTTACGTGATTTCAGAGAATCGGGTTAGTGTGGCCCTATCCATTTCTGCTCCCACATTCTTTTCACTTCACCATCACGACCTGTGAAAAATGGCCCTCCAAATTAGCCAGAGGCTGAGACGAATTGCAGATGAAATTGATATTTTTGTCACTATACATGGAAATCATCCTATTGAAAAACTTTTAGATGATGGGAAGGTAAAACATCTGGTCTTTGAGTGAAATTTAATACCCAAGCTAACAGAACAGTTTGCTGATTCTCTCCTCGAATTATCAGAAAATCTGCCAGAAAAGTGGAAGAAGATCCTCAGAGCCAGGGAGTGTAGAAATCCTCTGAGGACTTCTCTCAAGGGAGGAGGAAAACCTAAAGGTTGTGCTGAACTCAGTGAGAGTGTCAGAGGGATTATATGGAAATGGTTTGATCACCCGGAGCAGTTTATAACAATTGATGAGGACCGCATGGCACTTGCTGCTGTTGCCCCCTTTGATTCTATTGTCCACCTTATGCTCAAAATAGACGACGAAATTATTGTCAATGAGGTGCGCTGGCGGGTGGGCTCCATGTTCATGGCAGATCTTGCTGCCAGGTTCAATGCGAATGCACCTGAGATCGCGGAGATACTTATTCAATCCAAACTTCTCTCACCTGAGTATCGTGCGGCCTTGAGCTCACATTTGCCGGCTTGGGTATCAGCAGGCTCCAAATACAACATGATTGTTCAAGAGTTGAAGGGGGAAGGCAGTATACTTTACCTTCCGTATCTTGGTCGGACAATGTTGGTACCATCCATTCTGCATCACAAAGCTTTCATTGACCGGCTGCACTCTAGGTATGAGACCCATTTCCGGCCCACGGGTATTGATGCGACTGCTACAATCCATCTGCTTCAAGAGCGTGTGTCCAGTGCGGCTTCAGTCGAGTGGAAAGGCAGGACTGCCCATGATATTATCAGCTCTGTTTTCAAACATTTGTGGTCAAAAATTCCATCAACAGTGATTATACAACAGAACAATGAGCAATCCGGAGCAAAGCGAAAGAAATGCCAGCCTAAACAACCAAGGGTTCGAAAGCGAAAGAATGGTGGGGCGCAGAATCCAATGAATCAAGGCTCAAGTCTTACAGGCAACAATTCAGATGCTTCTGGGGAGGCTTGTCCAGCTGCAGAGGGTAAAGTGGATACCTCCCAGACCTCAGTGCCAACCACACTGACAGCCAATAGGAAACACAAGGACTACTTGCTTATTTAGCACATCCAGTCAACCAATCATCGACACTCGCGTGACACTACCGACAGCATTTGAAAACTTAGTGCCCCAGGCACGAGACACTACTGTCACAGATTATACAGATGGTATTCCATCACAGTCTCAGCAGCTGGCTAGGTTAAACATACTAGCAGATACTGCAAGTTCCACACTTGACTCTGAAGGTTAGTATTAAAGATATCATATACAGATATAATTTGCTGAAGTGTAAATAGCACATACGCGAAACTCAGCTTTGGAATCAACTGAAAGGGCCTGCCAAAATCGGTGGTGTGATCCGCATACTGCTCAGTACCTTACAAACAATGACGGGGCAACTTTGCAGGATTCCTCACCACCAGCTGCAATGGCAGATAATGGGACATACTCCAGTTTTTATGAGCATGACCCTGTGCTTTTTACTGCTGATTGGAATTGTGATTCCGCCTTTAGTGCAATTGATCCTGTATTTAGTTATATCTGATTTAGAATTGAATGGACTGTATATGAGCCATTGCTCTATGCATATAAAATATTCTAATCTCCATGGCGCCTCTTTCACGTAGGTGGGAATAGCCTCATGAAAACACCGACACCCCCCCCTCCTTGTGGATATTGTATTGTCAAATCGGCGGAGAGAATCAATATCTGGTTGGGTTGAAGACGGATCGGGGTAGGTTCGATGTGACGAAATTGGCCCCTTGTCATTGTATGGGAACCTTCCACAATGCGAAAGAGGCCATTACCCTCATGGAGTTCTTCAATAGTCGCTGAGCAGAATATGTGAACTGTACCACGAAGCCCGGCGGGATAACGTGGCAGCTGGGTTTTGTTTTCTCGCCAGAATACAACCTCCACCTTCGATTTCTTTGCTTCGTCAAAAGAACAGCCGAGGACATCTTGGAAGAAGGGTTCGAACTCGATGTTTGAAAACTTATTGAGGTCAGCTTGAGGCTACTGTCGCCGTGGCTACAGTGTAGACTTACATTGATCCCATGATGTAGCAATGCTTCACTGGCATCTCCCCCATTGACCCTTTGAGCGCCCACTTCATCTGCGATGCTCCCTCGCATTTCTTGAAACTTTGCCTTCCCAATGTAACTCTCTACTGCTGCAAAAAGCTCCTCTGGTGGCGGCTGTGCATTTTCCCGTTTGATGATGATATAGCCCTGGGGATTGGCCATGGGTGTCTTCTGTTCTGTCTTTGTTCGCTTTGAAGTTATGGTTCTGCCTTCACTTGTTTGACGTTTTGACATCTTACCCCCCACCTTAATATGGCAATGTGGATTATCGGATCAATATTTTCCCAGGTTTTTTTTTGGTACCATAGGAGAAAAAAATATTTCTTCTGCCGGGGCGTCTCCCTCTATATACAGGGTATAATTTCGATATGGGCTGCTCAAGAAATCTATCTGCGTCATCCAGGTTTCACAGCCTCTAAATAAGCCGACGTGGCTAGTTAACTGTTAATACATAATATGTTGGTGATTAACTAGTTAATCTAATTGCTGTTGTTCTTGTTGTATCTAGCTACTTTGAGCGTTCTGTTGGCCCTAGGCTGCCTATTACTGACTAGCGTACCGCACATATATGCCTCAGCTGCCTCCATGCTAATACAACCACTTAGACGTAAAAAGGACCTCGGGAGTTAGAATCACGTGATGGCATAGGTCAGACAGCTCACCTCCATTGAGCCATTAATTTTACACTAAAAAGATCTTATGATATAATAGTGTTCCGCGGCGCTTGGGTCGATCTGACTTTCTCCAGCTGGCCCCATCAGGGGAAACCTCTCTCCGTAGTTTGTTGAATCAAGGTACCAGAGTTTATAGTACTAAAATATTTCCCTGCTGATATAAGAAATCTCTTTCATCAGAAACCTCTCCTTTCATCAGGCGGGCATGTCGAAACGACCCTGTAATAACAATGGCTGGATTGGACGTATCTCTACGACAACAGGGTCAGACATCTAGAGTAGTGTCTGAGCAGGGTTGGAAATGGGCCCTTGACAGTGTGAAGGTGCTGTTGCCTTCTTATCAATTGTTCTTTTTTTTGCCTGTGGATTGAACTGTCCAAATATATTTCCTATCACATATTTTTAATTTTTACAACTAAGAATAAAACTACATAGCTGGAAAGATCCGAAGTTTAGATTATATATATGATAATCCAGTAACAGCAACTCGTACTGAATTACACATCAACCAGCAATTGGGTTTCAGAAAACATCATTTTGTCTTCCGCGTCTGATTTTTATCTCACAGACAGCCACAGCAAAGTATGAAATAATAATAGACCTCTGGGCAGGAATGATAGGCACTGGAATGAAATATGATCAGCGAAATAGGGTGAAACAAAGGGAACAGAAGCAAACAAGAAAACAATAAAGACAGGCATAGCACAACAGAAGTCCCAGGATCCGTTTCAACCAGCCACCCCTCCTCCTTACTCCGTGGAGAGACACTGGCGTGGGACACCGAAGTGGCCACTTCATCCATGGTAAAGGGAGATTTCTGTAAGAAGAGGGTACGTGCATAGCTGCGGCAGTCTCCTTGTAGCAGCGGCTGGAATATTCTTGCCCAACGGCATCCATGTTTTCTCGGCCTCGATTTCAACTTCGACTTGCGAGTTGGCGGCGGGGTGCGATGCTTCAGCTTGGTGGAGTACAGCACCTGCACAGTCGCCTTGGATCTGCCTGGGAAGTGCTTTGCGATCTCACCCCATGGCTCGCCTCCCTTCTTGAGTTCTTTCAGCAGCGCGTCATTCTCCAAGGTAAATGGTACATGTATACCGGTCGCGACAGACAGCCGCACTTGTCGACCAGGGTTCAACAGACTGTTTACATTTACTGGCAGAAGCCGGCGGGTCTCCTCATGACAGAATGTTATTGTGTAGCACACTTTGGACCCAGCCATGTAGCTTGAAAGAAAACTGGAGACAGGTCGTCGCCCGAGCCCCAGACGTCGCCATCTTCGATTGGGACAAAATGTTTATATTCAACTTCTATGGTATGGCTGAGCATCTGCAGAAACCAGTACTCACATAAGGCAACTGGTTTGAAGAAGGCAACAGCAGCCAACAAGGTCACACTTTTCGAGTGATCCTTTTTGGATTCCTTGTTCGAGCTTTGCAGCGGCAGGGCATTATCACATGAGCCATGGTTTGAAATGGGGTGAGAAGTTGAAACCAAATGCGGTCTATCTGGTGCGGATCACGTTGATCATGATTGGCAGACCTGCTCTTTCTGTCATAAACATAATTTCATTCGCCTGTGCAATCATGATGCTAAGACAGTGCTATTTAAGACCACAATGATTTAGAGATATAATTCAATCATTCAAATTTCAGCGCCTTGAACAAACCGGAAGTGCAGCGGATTATGCATCGGAATTTCTCTGGCACTCGAGCAAGATTTCACGTGAGATGTATCTCTTCTTTGCAGCAAGGAAGAGGGTTGGGAGAGCCAAGGGAGTAGATGAATATACACAGTCCAATGATGGTACATTAGCTTACCATTAGACATTTATCCAATGCAAAAATGAGACAAAAATAAGTTGAATCAATACAGTGACAGGTTGTAACTAAACTGTAAACCGTGCCTTCTTGGAGCGCTTCCTCAAAGGTGGTCTCCCACGCCGCTTACGAGATCCATGGTTCTCTACCTTCCCCAATTTAGCATGGAACTCATGGACCAACTCCTCACATCCAGGAATCAGATCATGTTCAGGTTGCCAAGAAGGGTCGTAGCCTTTCCATTTCACCAAGTACCACTGCATCCCTTGGTCATCATCCTCCAACATTGATTCGAGGATTTCATCAACCAACCACTCCTCTGTTGTCACTCCGCCATCTTCAATCAACACTGGCGATGGTGGGGTCTGGCCCTCAGAGTCGGACTCGTCGTCACTCCCAACACCGGGTTCCCAGCTGCACATATTTGGCGCGGTTAGGGAAATCGGGATCCTATCATCATCGCTCAGATCCTGAACGCTATCATCAATGGCAATGGATGTATCTAATATTCGTAAGAACCCACGCGAGAATAGAATGGAGTGGATGGCGGGGAACAAAGGAAATCGAGGGGGAAAGGGACATACCTTTGCTGTCTCCAGCACTCGGGGCTCGGGGCTTAGACACCACATCACCTCTTTTGTAATCCAGCCCTGGCATATCTTTGCTCGAGTTGATCTCCAGCACAACACTGTCATTGTCGCTGCAGGAGCCACTGCACTGTGGGTCAAAACTGGTGTTGCTCTCCTCATCATCTTCATAGTCACAGGTTCGTTTATTTGTAGTGATGGACATCGATGTATCCGATGGATCGGAATTGTCGACATAGAAGAGACTACACAGCGAATCCCAATCATTGCCGCCTACATCAATATGCAAATCTAGGTTCTGATTCTGGATGTCTGTTGCCTTCACAATTGAGCTGGTTACTTGACTTTCAAATATCTTAGGTGGCTCCTTGTTGACCGGCTTCTCATCCTTATCGGTTCGCTTTCCGATCGCAGGTTGCTGGGTATGGGAAACTGGCATCCGCTGAAATTTTGTGCCTGGTGCCGTGGCGTTTGGATTGAAATGAAGGAACGTCATGAGAGCGGCGATTTAGTCGGCCGACACAAAGCAGTGGTTTTGGAAGGGTTGTAGGAGGCTCGAGTTGTTTTGGAGGGAAGGAAAATCCAGCTTTCCAGACCTTCGGGGTGGGGAAGAAACACAGTGAAATACCTTTTCAACCTTTGGAGCTGATGTCTCACCGAGGCCCCGCAGCTGACTTGTCCTAGATAGAAACCGCCAGCGGTGCAGGAATGTTGGGATGGTTAAATTAAGAACCATTCATTCGCCGGACTTCGTATTCAAATGTAACACCTAGAGGGCCCTGGTGCATTGCCAGCGAAGCGGCTTCGATAGCCCTTCTTTGCCCCCCCCCCCCACCCAGCTAACACAGCCCAGCTGAAATGTCGGTTGGCACAATACAAATATCCCACCCACAACATCAATGGCTGAGCTGGTGGTGAGCTGAAAGACGTGCGCAGTATGAGCACCTGCAGGGATTGGAGGATGGACCAAGGACAGAGATTTTGAACCAGAGGGCAGGGCTACGCAGTAATGTAGATATCATCACGGAGCGGCCGAGAATTTACGCCAAATCAGGCTACTGCTCACAGCCTTGAACGAGCCCTCTATCCCGCATGCCAAAAGCTGACCAAACCCCGGTAAATTAAGGAGGAAATTGTGCGTCGCCCATTGTCTTGTGATACCAACCGCCATATTCTGCAGTGAGTGCAGGCGAATCGCAGCCTCTCTCGCTTCTTATTTCCTAGACCGTGGCATCAGCCGACAGCGTTCTCAACCTGCTTGTCATGTGTGTCACGCGACCCCCGGCGCTCCAACGCACTTCCCTGTCGCATAAGCAGGAATCTCCAATAGTAGAACAAATCCCTCGATTCATCTAGCTGAGACATGCAGCGTATGCAGTGTAAAGGTGGGTGACTCCAACATCGCAATTTCACACCATCCCGTCTCCTCAATTGATTCTAGCGCCAGGATATCAGGGCTAGATCCCAATCTCCGGTGGAGGCCTTCATTGTTGATTCAGCGTTTTATCACTGACCAGGAGGGAACCGTAGCGTGACCAAGAATTCACCCGCGCTGGGTGAGGTCCATGGCACCCATCGGCCACGCCGCGAGGGTTGGACATGCAGAGAAATTTCTTTCCTTCACCGTGACACGCCACCCTGCGACTGGAGAAGGAAAGAAACACCCGCCGGGCAACAGCGTGAGGCCGGACAGGGAATGCACGTCAAGGCAACAGAAAGAGCGCCTGACAGGATCTCCACAGCGGAAGTGACAAATGCGCCCTGCACTACACAGAGTACATGATCAGGTATTGAGGTTGAATGGTTGGTGACAGAGGGCCGTAGACAGGGGAATGTAAAGAGTGGAGCATGGGACCTGGGGAAGGAGGGCTGTGAAATTCTACAGAAGATTGAGTGTGGAGAGCATGAGGTGAAGGGGAGAACAAGGGAAGGTTCCAGGGAAGGTTCCAGGGCCGGGACGCACGTTGATGACCCAGGTGGGCTCGAGTGTGAGTGAGGGCGAGCGCGGGGCGTGCTTGGATAAGGGCACGGGAGGGTGAAAAGTTAAAAGTGCAATGGAGCTTTGTCGTTAGAACGGCAAGAGTGCCGGTTTATATAGGCGGGTGCGGTTTAGCTGCGGTCGGCGGCGCGGACCGCAAGCGCAGAAGAGGACAGCCGGTTTCCGCATCGGGAAAGGCCGTTTCCCGCCTGGGAGGCCCTCAAAGGTAGATAACATTATATATCTGTAGATATATTAAAAATTTAAAAAAAAAAAATAAAATAAATATCTGAAAATATTAATGAAAAAAAAACAAAAACCTTCTGCAAAAAAAAAATAAAAAATAAATAAAAAATACAAAAAAAATGAAAAATATAAATAAATAAAACAAAATTTATTTCATCAGTCTATAGTCATCAAAAAATTTACTTCTTAATTTTTAAATAATTTCCACAATCAATCTAGTATTTCTTACAATGAGAATCATTCACTTACAATAAATCATGATCTTAAGATCATCTGTGAAATAATTAGTGAGATATTGTTATATTTATTTTCATATAATATTATACACTCAAAAAGTGTGATTAAGATTGTCTCTGCAGTGACTTGAAAAGTATTAAGAGCAGAATATTGAAAGTAATACTAGCTCTCATTAATCTTCTGAATAAGATATATAAATACAGTCTTGAAGAAAATAAGATCTTCTGACTTCTGATAGTAATGAATTTCACAGATAGTCTCTAGTCTCATATCAATATCTAGTATTATCAAAAAATATTATTTTGATAATTTCATACTCTGTTTATTCATTTTTTTCATATAAAAGTAAAGATTGCACATCTTTCACACAGCATAACAAGTATTGAGATGCTGCTTGTAATGATGAGTTCAGATCACTTTTCACTTTATTACTCACTGTTTATATACTGTCTTACAGACAGCAGCAGTTGTTGACATAACCCTCTGATGAGAGATACTCTTATTATAGACTATTTTTTCACTTGAAAAAAAGAAAGATATTGAATATGAGGAATGAATATATAGATTTCAGAAGAGAGAGAACAGAGACTTATGATGCTGAATTTACTAGATAGAATCAAATAATTAATCAATATTTATTAATGAGAAAACATTGAAATATTTATATTGCTTTTAATAGTTAACATACTGATGCAGAATTATGATGAATTAGAGAGAAAAGAGAGAAAAAATCAAGAAAAAAAAACATCTATAGATATTAATCTGAGAGATTGCATTTGTAAATAATTTTTACAGCAACACAGAAATATTTCATCTGCATCAAATCATAATATAATCTGTATAGCAACTATATATATATAATATTAACAAGAATTCCACCACATTGGAGCTTCATATAATCTGTATAGCAACTGTATGCATATGATATCAACAAGCATCTCATCTGTATTGAGTTATAATATAACCTGCATGGCAACTACATGCATATGATATTAACAAGCAGTACAAAAATGCAAACAGTATTACTATAAAATATATAATTTCTTATAATATATAGCTGTAGATTTTTTTTTCTTCTTAAATTCTTTGATATATCTCTGTTCTTTTCATCATATTTCTGTATAGATATTATCTTGTAAAAGGTGTATATTTTTTTTCAAATAAATCTTCATCATTATAATCAGAATGTATTTTTCTTCTCTTTCTCTGCTGAAAACATGTCTGTTCTGTTCTTCAAGAAACATTTAATGACTCTGTATATCATTAAAACATGTAAATATTATCATCACTTTAAAGAGAAAGAGAAAGAAGTCTTCAAGCATAAAAAGATTGACTGTAAGATATATTATATTGTCTTGAAAAAACTCTATAATGAAGTAGATTGATAACAATCTTGAATAATACTTTTGTTGAATTTTGACTAATAGTATAAAAAAATTGATACTGATGACTCAATATATAAGAAGTTGAAAAAGAAAGTAGTGAAATTGCTGATGCAGCAGCACTGAAATCAGAAGTATTTATAAAAATGATTTGAGATTAAAATAAAGAGAAAAAGAGCTGAAAAAATGACAGCTGTGAAAAAGTGTTGTTAGAAGAAGATTGAAGATATATTTGTTTATGAGATAAAAAAACTCAAGTTGATAGATTGTATTTTGAATATATTCATTGATAATACTTTTTAATAACAGCTCTGTGATCTAATTGATTAGCAGACTTCTGAAAGAAATCAGAGAATCAGAGTCTTATTTAGATTTTATATACACTCAATAATTCAAAATATTAAGAAGACAGTATTACTTTCTGAATATGCTAATCTGCTTGCTGCAGAGATAGAATCTAAAACAGCAGATTAAAAAATACACAACTTTAAAATATAAATGAATCTGATAAAAAAAGAAAAGAGTTCTCTCTTATCTGAAAAGATAGCTGAGAAGAGTTTTGAGATAATTGTTTTTTCTGATGAGAAGAAGAAGAAGAAGAAGAAGAAGAAGAAGAAAGAATAAAATTGAATTGTAAAGATAAAAAGAAGTAGAAAAAGAAGAAGAAACAGAATGAAAAGAAAAAGAAGAAAGAGAAATAAGAAAAAAAATTTTTTTTTACAGAGTTTTTTAATACTTTTGTTAAATTAATTATATTATTACAATAATCAAAGATTTGAAATTTTATTCAATATTTCACTTTATGAAAATTTGTTATCATGAGAATATATCATTGTAGAGACATTACACTTATAATATATATATATATATATACTTATAATACTTGTACATTATTTGATGTCATATATATGACTTTATATATAATATCTGTAAATAATAAAAGATGATATATTTATATTATAGAATTATAATGAATAAACTTTTCAGTAGCTATAAAATTTAATAATTTTTTTTAATATTTTAGTAATTGTTATTTTATATTTTATTGCATTGTATTGTATTTGTTGTTGATTATAAATATATTTGACTAATATTCTAATCAATTAGAGTGAATTATTGAAAAAGAAGTAATAAAAATCTCAATAGATTTTCTAATGTTATTATTCTAATAATTTATTTTACTCATATTTTTTTATTATTTATATTCATCATAACAATTTTATTCATCACTGAATCAAGAAATCCATCATCTTCTTTAATGAAAGTTGAAGATTTTATAGAAATAAGAGTGAATCAAAAAATTTATATTGTTTATAAGTTTTTATAAAATAATCTCTTTTAAGTTTGATGAATACACACACTTTTTTTTCATTAAGATGACAAACAACACAATCTATGAAAAAGTCAGCACAGACAATAAAAAGATATATAGAAAAACTTTCAATAAATTACAGTCAAAATTACTGAAAAGCCATTTCTCTACTATAATCATTACAACTTTATATAGAAACATTCATTATAAAATGAATATGATTCAGAAGAAATCATATAATATCTGAAATTTGTTAATTGTCTACAGTTTAGAGAAGAACATTAGAATATTTGAAATAAATTGATAAATATATCATCTACTCTCACTAATCAATAATAATAATATTTAATAACACTCATATACTATTTTGCAGAAAAACATGTGAAAATGATAATGAACTGATTCTAATCTTTCAATTCCAACTCTTTTATCTGATAATTTTCAAAAATAACTTCTATATCTATATATATTTCTGAATCTTTTATTGTATACTGTTGAAAACTTAGAATTCTGAACTCTGCTGTGAATATTGAATTTATATATTCAAATTTCTTATTAATCTAATCTCTGCTTCTCTCTTAATACACATTACAATAATAATATACAACAACTTGAACTTATATTGAAAAAACAACAGAAGATATCACTGACAGTGAATGCATGAATAAGTATTAATAATCTCTTCTTTTTGAACACTGTTTGTTATTTCATTGATGAGAATTAAAACTATAAGAAGAAATTAATTGATTTTAAACTCTTAAAAAGCAGTTATACAGATGAGTATATGACAGAGATTCTGATAATAATTATTAAAAATAATTTCTGAGATATTTCATCAGCATTTCTTGCAATCACAACAGACAATGCAGCAAACAACTTAACTATAATACAGAGTCTGAAGTAAAAACTGATATTATACAGATGAAATAATAAATATAAATATATTTCATATATTATATATATTATACAGCTTGTTGTGCAAGCATTGATCAAAGTATTGAATATTAAATCTGAAAACACAGAACTGATCAGTTGTTTTGATAAGAATAATATTGAAATTAATATTTAAATTACATTCTTATCAACTCTTAGCAAGGTAATAATATCTGATAATACTTCAGTGTAAATTGATCAATTTTCTAACTATATTATTCTCTTTTTTAGATTTATTATATTATCAATATCATCAGTATCTCTTTCAAACAGCAGCAGTGATTCCACAATATTCAAATCATATACAGCTCAATTTCTTCACTTAATATAATATAAAATATTTAAATATAGTAAAGTTCTATCTATAAAATGACAGTTCAAGCACTTCAATTAAAAAATGCTGTGAATTATTGAGTTCAGAATTTCAAGTAAGAGAAGATTTATACTCTGAAACTTTCTGAATCAGAGTAGACACAGTTAAAATATATTGTTGAGCTGTTGTATATCTTTTACACAACAACAAAAACTGTGTCTATTACAGTTATATCAATAATATAAACTGTTTGATAAGTATATAATAGATTATTTACTTCTCTGAAAACTCAGATGATTTATATACAAGAAGAGCAATTCTGAAATATTACTATTTCTTCAGCAATTGAAAGAGCTTGAGACAAACTTGCAGAATATTATATCAGAATAAATCAGTCATTTACTGATTACTATATTATTACTACTGTATTTGATTCTTTATATCAAATCAATGTATATACTTCAGAGAATTGAACTGAGAAAGAATAACAAATCTATATTAATATAACTCAGATATACTACAATAATAATTATCAATAATATAAATAGAAGAATATATAAATTGAAGAGTCAATAAATTATAATTCTCTGATTAATATTTTTTTTATAATACTTAATACAATATTAGTATTGATCTGTTACTAATACTGTTTAAAAATTTACACTCATTAATTGCCTCTGAAAATCTGATTAAATGAAATACTTGCAACATTGAATTTGATCACTATCTATATAATGATTCTATTAATATAAAAGGAAAATCTATTCTGAATCTATAAAGAATAATCAGCAGTTAATATCTAACAGT